AGGGAAGACGAGGGGAACGAGGAGTGGAAGGAGCTGCAGGACCACCTGGAGAACCAGGCCCACCTGGAGAGCCTGGGCCTAGAGGTTTTCCAGGAGAGCAAGGACCAGTGGGAGATCAAGGAGACGTAGGTGATCAAGGACTTCGGGGTATGAGAGGGCAGGATGGGGGAAGGTAACGGAACTGACTGGTAATAACGAAGCGCTCCCTCCCAGTGATATCGTCAGTTTTCTTGCTTGCGTTGTTTTTGTTTTATACCAACATGCCGAACTCAATGAAATTTTTGCAAGTTATCAAATGTATGTTTTTTGTGCAACGCTTAAACTCCCAAAGAATTGGAATTTATGAATACAATGCAGTTTTACTGCACTCAAATATTTAAAAGTTTTGTTTTGTTTTTCTCCTTTAATAATTGAAGAGAAAAGCCGGCAAATGTCCCATTAGTTCCATTGCCTGCTGCTTTTATCATCTTCCATTCATCACTCCTACGTCTCCTTCTTCTCCTTGTAATCCTCTTGGACCTTTCAGTCCTTGTGGTCCAATCTCTCCCTTATCGCCTTGACTGCCCTGTCGCCCTTGTGGTCCTTGCATTCCACTCATTCCTTTCGGACCGGTTAGTCCCTTAGGTCCTGGGTTTCCTCGAATTCCATCGCGTCCATCTGCTCCCGGCGGCCCAACGGGTCTCATTATCCCTTTCATTTGTGGACCGCATGCCTAAAAATAAAATTTACAGTATTTGGTATTTTGCAGGTTACAGTGAGAGATAATCTTTCCATTAAAAACAAGCTATGAGGGACTTACTTGGGCTATGAAAACAGCGCAGATGACCAATAAGAAAATACCGAAAAGATGCATTGACAATCTGAAATTGATTTTGTGCATAGTGGCTAAAATTTTCCAATTCCTTTAAAACTTTTAATTTGTTTAAGTTTTGTCAGGTTCAGAAAAAAAATATCAAAAAAATTTTTAGGCCTCTTAGAAGCCATTTAAGGTGTCTTTAAAAGATTGCTTCAAAGGAATCTTTAACAGCTAAAACTTTTCTTTATTTATGGTACACAATTCCTTGAAAAAAATCATAATTGTTAGGTGGGGATTTAAAAATTTCACTCAAAAGTTGTAACACTTTTGGGATATGAGGAATAGACTTTAATTAGTTGATTAGAATGTATACAATCCTCTGATATAAGAGATATGTAAGAGAAGCTTTAAAGACTTAAATCAGAACTTAATAAAGCGAATTCTGACGAGAAATTTTGC